TCCCCAGGGGCACAGTTGCTCTTCATGAAGATCACACTCAGGAGATTTATCAGGAGACCAGTCTTGGGGAAACCCCTGCCACCATACACTCTCCCACTGTTGGAAATTTTTAGCTTTACAAGGTCATAACAAGGTCATATAAGTGATGGGTTGAATTGACTTCCTTCATATCAACTGCAAAGGCAATCAGAAGTTCTTCTGAGGATCTCAGCATGCTGATTTTGGTATTTTTAGTTGACAACCTTCAGCATATCTTCCTTTATAATGGGCTGTTTCATTTTATACTTATAGAGCAGGAACTGCTCCAACAACATAACCTTCTTGATTCGAGAGTCTCTGCATGAGTTCTCACTGGAAAGTGGGGCCTCAGCTGTACTTTTCTCTTCCTCATCTTGACCACTGGGAACTTTATGAGATCTAGTGCAAAAGATGCCTATGTAAGTAGTGGTGGATGAGGCTTTCTGAGGCCCCTTCGAAGTGCTACATGACACAGCAGTAGGTAGGCTCTCAATAACACCTACACAAAGAGGAAATGAGGATGGAGGAGACTCTTCTGCTGCCACTGCTATTGCCTGCGTACCCCCATTGCCTCGAGTCTTACCTCAAGTCTGTTGACGTTTCTCATGGGCATGGACCTTACTGTTCTGATACCAAGACATGATGACTCTGGTTAGGCAGAGTAGGAAAAAGTGTGGGTGGCATGGCTAGGAATGTGGGCACCTGAAGGAGGGAGAACGAGATGGTGTGAGCACCAGCAGCAGGGAGAAACTACTGTGGCTTTAACAAAGGCTACCTCTACAGGTTTCCAAGAGCACTGCTTTAGGAACCCATGGAGCTCCGGTTCTCCTGGTCAGCCTGCCCACTGAGAACCCTGTGTATAAAGTTAGAATAAGTTTAGGCTGCAGCCTGCCAACTCTGCCTTAGGTGTACTGAGAGGATGGCAGAGGTTGGTAATGGGAGTTCTCTGTTTTGGAATGAGGGGGTCTTGTAAGTTCACAAATAATCATCATATCAACTGTTGGTGGTCCCTGCTTCCCTTTTCTTCTGCTGCTGTGAAGTTGACACCTCAAACCAAAGCCAGCACCTCCCTGAGACCCCAGAAGATAAAGTGAAGGAGCTTCTGAGTCCACCATCTCTGTCAGGGAGTACCCCACTGGGAGCTATGTGGAGGTGTCTCTGTCATGGGATACTTGGGTCTTTAGTTTTCATTCAAGGAACCCACCTGATTTCCAGGTAGTACCTGGAAGACATCCCTTTTGCTAACTTGTGGCTGCAACCACACACCAAATATTTCATCTGCCTTAGATTATATATATATATATATATATATATCAAGAAGTAGGGAGGAGCCTCAGCCTGATAGTCCTGCCATGGTCCTTTAAGTACTGAGTACAAGGGTGGGGCACAGATGCTTTGTTATCTATTCAATGGTGGTGGTCCTCCCAACCCTGCCTTTCTCTCTTGACATGGCGCAGGGCTTCTCTATTCCTACCAGAATCTCCTGAGACTCTCTAGTAAGATATGGGCACCACCTCACCTGCTTGTGGTCTTCCAAGGCTGATTTGATGTTCCCCTCTGACACCATATTTTCACCTTAATTCCTAAAAATGCCTGGAAATTTTCCTACTGCAGACCGCAGGCCATCTACCTTAGACAAAACCCTCACCACCATTACCAGTAACCACCCCCATACCATAGGAGGAAATGAGTAGAAGTCATGTAACCAGTGCACAGGCATCCCAGAGTGCCAGTAGGGAAGGGGTTCCCTCAGTCCTCATGTAGGGAGCTGATTTTGACTCCTGGCTGTATCTGGGATGCTTTTCTTTGCTGACTTGAGGATTCTTCCCTTAGACCAAGGCCCTGACATCTCTGAGACCATCCTCGAAGAAATCAGCCTGGCCCAGGGCCTCCTAAGGTTGATTGCAGGAGCAGATTTTGTGTTACTGTACACTTCTGAGATGAGCGGTCCCCTCAGAAATCACTCAAGCAGCTGCTCTTAATTCCCGAAAGAGCATGGTACTCCTTTCTTTGCTGACCTTAGCCCTCTGTCCCCTGCCTGCTCCAGGCCAAGGTCCTCAGCTCCCTGGTGTCATCAAGTGGAAAAGGAGAGCTCACATGAACTTGACATCCATGTTTGGGTTCTCAGGGAGCTGCAAATATGGGCTTGATGGGATTTTTCACCTAAGCGTCCCCACCTTGACTGTTGCTAAGGTTTGTTCCTCCTTCCTCAGCTGCTCTGGGCTCACATACTTTTACCAAGGCCCTCATCTTCCTGAGGTCCTAAAGGCAGAAATGAGCACACGGCTCAGCCTACCTACTCTGTTCAGGGCCTCCCAAGACTGAGAACAGGGGTCAGGCTTTTAGGGAGATAAGGCAGTGCACACTTTGGAGGTGGGTGGTTTTTTTATTCGCATTCAGTATTCTCACATTTATTCCTGCCTGAGCCTGAAACCCCTCACTTGCTTGCACTTGTGCTGTTGTGGCCTGCCTTAGGCCAAGTCCCTCACCTTTCTGCGACCCACAGGAGGAAGTGAGTGCTACCCAGATCCCCGGTGAATGGGTTCTCAAGGCTGACTGCAGGGGTGACATCTATGGTGCCTTCTCTGTTCTGGAGTGGGTAGTTCCCTCAGTCTCATAGAGGCTTCTCAATTTGACTCCTCTTAGAGCCTTACTTCAACGAGAGCCCTTTGCAGCAAAGCCCTGACATCCTGGGCTCCTGTCTCTTTAATAAAAAGCTTCCTGGGAAATGCCATAGCCCTGAAAAATCTTGAGGAAAATAGGTCTGTGTCCAAGTGAAGTGATGCGAAATGGGGAAGCTGAAGAACAAGGCAGAAGGCCTGGGATAGGAGGTGGCTCTCAGAAAACACAAACTGATCTACTTCTCTTTGTCACTCAGACTTAATCTTTCATAATCACTGGAAAATGTTAGGAGTTTAATAAATGAAATTTATTTGTGATTATTTTTATGTAGACAATACCATTCTCTTATCTGAGATTTTTTTTTTTTAAATCCAGGATATGTCAGTGAAAATGCAATGCTCTCAAACAACACCAAATCAGCCAAAAATTTGCTATAGCAAGTAAAATTAGATTTTCTCCACTAGGGCATCCATTATTTAATTTGGATGTTGGGGTTCTTCCCCATCTAGATATAATTAAGATGTTTTAGAATTTTGTTAAGGACTAACTCTTTCAGTGCATCCTAGCCACCCTTCCATTTAAACCACCTATATTTTCATTCATTTCCTTCCCATTGAAATCTAGCCCTCCATTAGAATTTACCAAATTGCACTAATGATAATCTAACTAGAATGTCTTTTTCTAGTAGGATCTAGTTCTAGTTCAAGGTAAAAAGAAAAAGCCAACACAGTGGCTTTTGTGCATCTCACTCTTATTTTGGGGACACTCCCTGGAGACAATTTGCATAGGACATGTAGCTCGTGCATTGCATTCTACAGTACTGAGATGAGACCAAAGATATCTTCCATTCCTGCCTATTATGAAATGAATTTTGCAACCAACCTCAAATTCACAAGCTTAAGTCCTAACCCCCAGTACCTCAGAATGTGATTGTATTCAGAGATAAGGTCTTTAAACAGGTGATTAGTTAAAATGAGGCCGTTAGAGTACTTTTATAAAATCTGACTGGTGTCCTGCAAAGAAGAGGTTAGGACACACTAGGAAATACCAGGGATGCACACATACAGAAGAACAACCATGTAAAGAGGCTGCAAGCAGGAAGCCTTCTGCAAGCAGAGAGAGGCCTCAGAGGAAGCCAACCCTGCTGGCATCTTGATCTTGAACTTCCAGCCTCCAGAATTGTGAGAAAATAAACTTTTGTTGTGTAAACCACTAGTCTAAATCTAAAGATTTCTTTCTAGATTATGTGTGATCCCAAAGGAATTCATAACAGCATGTTTTAGTGGTGAGGAAGGATTTTCCACATTATGGTTATGTGGTATTCAAACACACGATACTGGCCGCTGTACAGATGAGGTCAACAGCAGTTTATTAATCACATATATTTACAGGGCAGGGTAGCAGTACACCACATACCATACAGGGTCACACAAGGGTTGCACTCAGGAACAGAGTGAATGAATAAGGTCTCTGGGAGGCAGGATTTGTAGACAAGAGGGAAAGGTGACGTCTAGTTCGCATGGGAAGATGTGATTGACTTGTGTGAATAATTTTGAAGGCTGCCAGGGAAAGAAAACAAGATCTGTGCCTGGTTCTGTTAATAAAGATGATTGTTTGATTAAGGGACCTAATCTGCAAGTGCATAGTGTAGAGAGGAACTTCCAGTTAGGCCATTTGAAAAATCTAAGGCAGTATATAGTATTAGGTCTCGATTTGGGGCTTTATAATACAGTGCAGTTTTCCATTAAAGAGTTTTCTCTCTCAACTTTGAGACACATCATCTGAGGGTTCTGACCTCTGCTTACCAGTTTCATAGCCTCATCTAACATCCCAATGCAGCTAATTTTAAAAGTTTCAACACATTGTTTGGCTTTCAGTTTCCCAAAACTCAAACTGCCTTGCTTCATGAAATTTATGCTTTACTGCTCTCAACTGGAATGTCCCCTTCTCACTAATCCTTTCTACTTTCCTGTAAGTCATAGGGGATGGCTCAACATTTACTTTATATGACTGCAGCTTTTAACCTCAACAATTCTATGGGCAGAAGCTGGGTCTTTATCTGAGCAGCTCCAATACTGTCACAGAACCTTCCAAAGACCAGATAATCAAATGATGTTTAGGGAATGTGAGACACCATGAACAAGAGATCTAACTTACAAAGATTTAATTTCTCCTACATTTTAAACAAGCTAAACATATCAAGGTATAAATCATTTAATTTTACAAAACAAAAGACTGAAAGGAATGAGGAAAACCAAGATTGATCATGTTTTATAATTTTTTTCTATTTCATCATCTCAATTATTTTACTGGAGGTTCTTTTGTATTTTAAAAAAACAATCCCTTTTGGTGATGTTATATTTGCTTGACTGGATGAGAAAACTTCAGACTTCAGTAGGGTTGGGAGAAGCTGTTGAACTTGGCCTCAAAACAGTCTTGGCCACTGCAGTAGTGCCAGTCTTGGCTGCAATTCTGGCTTGGGCTCTTTCTTCCTCATCCATCAAAGCCTCTTCATATCGTGAACAGAAGGTACCTGGAGCAATATTACTGACCTTGGCCAAATATTCCAAGACTTTCATCTTGCTGGTTTCACTGCAGGCTCTTGTAACCCACTGGAATTTATAGTGTGCAGGATAACTGCTGGGCACCTGGTAGTACTCCAGGTACTTTAGCTTCACAAAATCCTGAGTGATGAACTTCCTGGGCTCTCCATAGAGGTAGCACTTCTTCCCAACACATATCTGCATCATGTTCAGAAATTGCCAGATATCTTCCTCATTGGCACTGTTGCCTTTCAGGAAGATCACACTCAGGAGAGTCATCAGGAGACCAGTCTTGGGTAACCCTTTGCCAGCATGAATCCTCCCATTGTTGGGGAGTTTCAGCTTGCTGACAAGGTCATATAAGTGACGAGTTAGGTTGACCTTCTTCAAATCAACTGCGAAGATAACCTCAATGTGCTCAGAAACTTTTCTGAGAATCTTAGCAAACTGGTTTTGGTATTTTGGGCTGACAATCTTCAGCATATCTTCCCTCAAAATAGGCTGTTTCATTTTGAACTTGTAGAGCAGGAACTCCTCCAACAAACCCACCTTTTCACAAGTGTGGAGCTTAATCTTCTGATCCTGAGACATGATGATTCTGATAAAGGACAGCAGACAGGAGAATGAATAGTAGAACAGATCAAGATGGCCCACTGGAGGTGGAAGGTTGAGAGGGTCTGTGCACCTTCAGTGTGGAAATTCCACCATGGTTATAATGCAAACAGCATGCAGTTTTCCATGATGGAACTGCTCTAGACACTCACTGGGATTCTGTTCTCCTGATCAGTGTGCCCCTTGGGAAACCTTTGGAAGAAGTTAGATTGAACCGTAGGCTTTAGCCTGGCAGCCCTGCCTCAGGCATATTAAAGTGACATTGTGGCTGCCAGTCTTCTGAGTTGAGGGGTCCTTTTACTTCACATTCAAGACAATCATGCCAACTGGTGGCAGGTCATGAGAACCATTTCCTCTTTAGTTATTCCACAAACCTCCCTGGGACCCATAAAAAGAATGCAAAGGGGGTCCTCAGCTTATCACTGCTGTCTGGGTGCCCACGGTGCTGACTGCTGAGTGGATAATTTTCTGTCCTGGCCCTTCTGTGATCCTCAGTTCTCTCTTGGGGTCCTTACATTGGCATATAGGGCCTAGGAGCCCAACTCCCTTCATTTGAATGGTGACTACTGTACCTTTAGACTAAGGATGTCACCTCCCATAGACCTGACATAAAGAAGTGGTGGAGAGCTTCCACTTCACAACTCTGCCCTGGCCCTTCAAGCATTGAAACCAGAGTAGGGCCAGATTCTTTTTCAACCCTTTTATTTAGTGGTCAATGGTTCCTTCAGCACTTGATTTGACCCCTGGCATGGTCTGAAACTTCTCCTTCCCTTGTTCTAAGGCCTATCCCCTCATACTAAAGACAAAACGACCCTGAAACCTTCACCAAGGCGAATGTGACTGTCTTCTCATCTGTTCTCATTTGTTCTTACCTGTCCTTGTTCTTCCAATGCTGAGAGCAACAGTTGGATTCTGTGTGTTCCCACTCGTACGGCATGTGTTCCCCTCAGTTATTAGGGTATGCACTGTGGCCTCTGCGGAAACCTGGAAATCCTCAACTGCTGACCTTAACTCGCAATCATTAGACCAACTTCCTTACTTTCTTGTGACATCATACGAGGAAGTATGCCACATCATGTCAACAATGCAGATGTATTCCAGGGCTGCCAGTAATGGTGGGGCTCTGTGTGGTTCTCTCAGTTCTGAAGGTGGAAGGTTTCCTAAGTCCTCACGAGGGACCATCACCTTAACTCATGGCAGGGCCTTGGACTCTTTTTGTTTACTTGGGACCCTCCCCTCAGACTAACCCCTCACATCTCTGAAACCCTTCTTGTGGAGGTCAACCTGACAGCTCCCCAAGGCCTCCCAGGGTTGATGGCAGGGGGAGGTTCTATGCCACCTCCCTGTTACAGGGTCTGTGGTCCCCTCAGTCATCACTCATGATTCTGCATTTGATTCCTCACAGGGCATGAATATCTCCCTTTATTGTCAGAGTCTCAAAGCCTTAGACCAAGATTCCCACTCCTTGAGGCCCCAGAATGAAAATAGGAAATGCCACATGAGGCCACCTCTATCTATGATCTCCTAGGGACTACATCAAGATTCAGGCTCCTTGGGGCTCTGTGGAGGATAGAGGTCTTCCCTCAGTCCTCACTCAGGGTCCTCACCTTGACTCGTTGCAGGCCTTGAGTTTCTTCTTTCAACTTTAGGTCACTCATGTAGACTAAGGCTCTTATGTTCCTGAGAACACTGAGCAATAAGTGAGAAATAGCCTAACAGCCCTGCTTCAGTCTTCCAGGTCTAAAGGAAGACACAGTCTGATCTCTGGTACTCCGTTTACTATGGGGTATTTGTTTCTTTAGTTGTCATTCATCAGAGTCTTATCTTGGTTTCTACATTTTCTATTAGAGGCTTCTGGAGAAATGCCACATAATTAATACCAAGCTCTTCATTAGTTTTCCATCTGCAAACGTTGCAGAGAATAGGATGTGTCCTAAGAATGATATGAGATGAGAAAGTTGAAGCACGAAGCAGAAAGTGCTGGACAGGTGTGCCTTCAGAGGAAAAAAAATTGCTGATACATCCTTTCTTGTCACTAGGCAGACTTCGCTTCTTATGTAACTTCTGTTCAAATATATTTACTTTCTACAGTGAAGAGGCTGAGTCAAATGATTTTGTGAGTCCCTAGTATTTTGAGGTTTCTGACATTGGCATTGCAGATAATGATATTGTCAACAAATATCTTTCTTTAGTCACACCTTGCATTCATTTTGGTATTTTTATTGCTTATCCCTTGGGCTATGTATCCCAAAGCAGTATTTGGGGTTTAAAGTCTTGCTTTGTATCACCTGAGATATGTTTTGAAGTAGTGAGCAGGAAATAAGTAACACAAGGTCTGCCTCAGGCTGGAAGAAGTGGAACAGTGTGGACTCTAGAGAAATTCAGATCCAGGGTCTAGTCTAGTTCTCTCACTTACCAGTCTTGTGAACTTAAGAAAATTGTAAGTTTTTACCTGCAAAGTCAATTCGATAAACCCCATCTTATACCATCTTATAGAATTTAGGCATATATATACTGTATGTAAATCACCTGACATGGTTTTAGGCAAAGTTTGGGTCTTTAATGAATGGTGATTATTACTAAATGTATTTTGACTCAAGATGATAACAATCTTCCCTCACAGAATTTTATTTCCATAATATATTAGAGAATACTCCAACAACATAGAAATCTACATCTGCTGAAATGCTGCCAAGCCAGTAAAACTGAGTAGTGTTTCCTCATTAGAGCATCTGTTATTTAATTTGGCTGTGGACCTGCCTTCTTCAGCTGGAGGCAACTCAAAATTCCTTTTTCATGGTAGGGACCAGAAACTTCCCAGGTCACTTTTCCATCCAAACTGCCCCTATTTTGATTCACTTCATCACCACCAAAAACCATGCCCTCTCTTAGAGTTTGAAAAATTGCACTCAAAGTAACCTAATTCAAATGTCTTTTTAATGGAGCAGGCTCTGGCTCTCCCAGCCTATGACAGGGGTGATGGTTCAGTGGCCTCTTGGCATTTTATGTAAAGGAAGTATCACTCATATTTCTCAGAAACTCCCTGGACACCATGTGCCTGAAAGACACAGTGTGTGAACTGGGGCAACTGCACAGGTCTCTTTCCCTTCCTATCCCAGTTGGGGATTTCTTTCTGGTATATCTACAGGGTCAAAATAACTTTTAAGACTTGCTTTCCACTCAGGGATAGTCTCTCACCTCTGAGAGGTACCATCTGAGGGCCAGGCCCATGCTCACCACTCCCACAGCCTCATGTAGCCCAACCTGCAGCTTCCCTTAAATTTACTCCCACCAAGAGACTTACCGTTTTCTAATACTCTGAACTGCCTTCATCAGATAGCTTACATTTGACTATATTCATATGAAATCGTCTCTTCCTTATCCCCTCTTTTTAATTCTCATTTATGTCTTAGATGCAATCTCATCATCTTCCTTATATGTTAGTTGCTCTTTGACTCTAAAATTCTATAGGCAGAAGCTGAATCTCCTTTTCTTTACCGTCACTAGTACTATCAGGAAGCCTTCTAAACAGCAGGTACTCAATTATACTTGTTGGGAAACAATAATTAAAAATTAATAAAAACAGTAAGCAGGAACTCTAATTTATTATTTAATTTTTCCTCCAGTTTGAACAAACAAAGTAAATACAGGTTTATATAATTTAATATTACAAGCAATGAGCAAATAGGCTAGGAAAAAAAACAGATTTACCACTCTACATTTGTTTCACTATTTTGTGATCTCAACTATTTTGCTGTTGGGTTCTTTCACATTTCCATGAAGATCTCTATTCCATGCCACATTACCTTATTCTGTACTAAAAATAAAGTGTTTTAAAATAACAAACCTTTTAGTCTTAAACTTGACAAACAGAAATAAATGTGTGATCTATGACATTAAGAAACTTAGTTTGTGAAACAATTTAAATCTTCACTTAAAAGAAAGAGCATTTGTAAAATAATAATGAAAACAAAAGATAAATCTACACGGTACCCAGGTATAACTGCAAAAAAGAAAGATACACATCTTGTTCCCTCCAGCATCTACTATGCAGCACTTCTTAAATGGCTGACTACTCTCTTCTAACATAAAGTGAACATTCTACTTCAGACTTCCCTAGAAGTGTGAGGCTCTATAGGATGTGGTCCAATAAAGTGCCCTGGCCAAGGGAACAGTGCCAGATCTGTGTGCAGTTCTCAGGCTCATTGTTCTCTCTACCTCATCTGTGAAAGACTCTTCATGCGGATTTGGGAAGGAAATGGGGAGAATGTCATTGATCTTGGCCAAAACTTACAGGACTCTCATCTTGCTGGTTTCAGAATGGGCTCGTGGAACCCAAGGGAACTCATAACCAGGGGATCACTGTTGTGCACCTGCCGGTACTCCAGGTACTCTTCTCACACCAAATCTTCTGTGATCAACTTCCGGGGCTCCCCAAAGGTTATAGGCCTCCTCCCAGCATAGATCACCACTGCATATCGGAAGCCCCAGACCTCCTCTTCAGTGGCATGACTGATTGCCTTTCCTGAAGATCACACCCAGGAGTGTCGTCAGAAGACTTGTCTTCCAATCGTATCACCACTCAGACTTCCTTCACTGGAGAGGTCCACCTTGCTGACAAGGATGTAGGAGTTGCTGCTGGAGTCAATTTCTTTCCATTCAACACCAAAGACAACTTTCAAAAGCTCAGAGGTTCTCCTGAGGATCTCAGGGAGCTGCTTGTACTGTCTGCTGACAAGCTTCAGCAAGTCAGCCTTCAAAATGGACTTTTTCTTCTCATACTTCTCCAGTAGGAATTGCACCAACATGCTTAACTACCTCCTGTTCAGAGGATCTCAGTATGTGCTCTGAATGAAGGCTGCTTTCTGGCAGCTGCTTACACTTTTCTCACCTTGACCCTTGGCAGCTACATCAGATTTTAAGCATGAAACACCTGCATCAGGAGAGCCAGTGGATGAAGCTCCCTGAGACTCCCGAGGAACGGAGGCATCAGGAGACCTACAACGAGCACCCCGACAATAA